TGGTAAATAGTAAATCAATCATGGTTTCGACCTCTTCCGATTTCCTAGTATAAAAATTAATTTTCTGAACCATTGAGAAGGACTGAAATAACTCTACCAATTTTTTACTGTACGTTGTAGCTTTATATAGATTTATATTGAAGTCTCCAATAAATACAGTATTATCATCTAGGCAAGTATTGTTTAATATTTCACTGAGGTATCTGATAAAGTCAGCATCGCTAGAATTTGGCGAGTGATATATTACCCCTATTTGGTGTTTCGGGGTAACATTTCCAATTTTTAAAAGAAGACACCAAATCTTCTTATCACACGAGTAATTAACGAGAGTTTCATATTTAATTGAGTGATGGACGTAAATTAAAACACCGCCTGTGTGTCTACTATTCGAGTTGCATCTAATTAGGGTGTAGGTTTGTACCTGTATTTCGTGGTTTGTAATGTCTTCGGTCAAACAGGTTTCTGAACATAGCACCAAATGGGGCTTACAAATTTCTATTAGCTTCTCAAATTCACACTTATTAGCTGTAATACTGTTTATGTTTAAATAAATGATATTCAGTTCATGAATACTTCGTTGCTAAACTTTAGTTTTGCTTTTGGCTTGAACGTATTAGTACATGCTATCAGTGTTAGTCTGTTGACACCTTAAAGAATACACGTTACTTTAAGAAAGGAATAGATTGAATGCTCGTAAAATAAAGACATTCTCTTCGCTACTTTAGCGCAGAACACATTGACTTTTCCTACACAATCGATATATATAGATATTCGTAACGGTAAGGGCAATGCTATTGCAAAAAAAGCCGCAAGGTGGCGCTGGAGTTATTTCTAAAAATCGTCAAGTGAAGTAATTCGGAGACACCATGTCACAGTCAAACTACCACTGTTGAATCAACCACTAAACAGAATAAAAACAATTCTTGATGAATGCCTACAAATACAGTTTTAAGATATTTAAGGTATCTAGTCTGAAATAAGTCTATGTATATTGGATTTCTATGGACCAATGATACTCCCCCATTTTGAAATTGCCACCAACTAACCGGATCAATGTTATCGCAAGAACTTCTTCACGGACATAACGCTTTCGTTAGGTTACATAAAATAGCTGTGGAGGGTATGCCTTCTGACGACCACCCAACCAAACGTGAAAGCGAATTGTTGGTGAAAAACTTTGGACGAAATGTTTCAATAAAAATATAATTTTGGGCGGGAAGAAGTTCACCGGGTCTGCTAGTTTATTCTAATTCGCAGTTTTGAAAGCACTGCCTTCAAGGGAGGAGGATGTTATTGCACATATTGCTCCAAGTGTACGACTAACTGAGCCACCACTGAAGTGAGCTTTAGCAGCTGTCCGCAAAAAATAATAACCGCTGCCGCTGATCTACATACATATGTACACACAACCGCACTTAGCTACACACGTAAATGCACTCTCAACTTCTGGATATAAGTTGCGTTCGACAATTCCAAAAATTTGTAATAGTTTTTCCAAATTTTTACAAGTTGGCGTTCGATAACGACAAAAAATTATCCAGCATTCAAAAATTGAGAGAGCAAGCGTTTCATTTTCATCACGAAAACATATGATTGCAATTAAACAAACAAAGAAATTTATTTTTTGTGAAATCTGATCTTAACAAATTTTAAATTTATAGTCAGAAACGTTGAGATGGAAAATATAACAGCAAAAAACGTGATTATATAAAGTATATTAATGATAGTTCAATACAAGGTACCTACTATTTCGCAGGTTGTACCTGAACGGGAGCCTAACTTCCAAGGCGGCTACGAATTGCAGCCTCAATTTCCACATTTGGGAGGTTTATTGTGTTTAAGATTTAGTATGCATACATATTTTATTAACAACACTTTTGTTCGTAGAACTAGCATTGGCGTAGGTGTCCAGAGTATTGTTTTAAATGCAGTCACGACATTAATGGATTCTTCTTCCTCAGAAAGTGACGACAAACAAGATACTGTTATATGTGAGCGATTACGACGTCGTGATAATATATAGAGTATATTTTGCTTAGCTGCACATCCTTCTTTGCACGAAAAACTTGTGCACTTAACCGAAGAAGGCACTTAAGCGAATTTTCTTTACTACTTCAATGAGGAAGGTATCCAAATCCCTATGAAACCAAATAATGGAGAAGCACTTACCACGTAGAAATTACTGCAAGCGAAATTTTTACCGAATAGTATCTAATTATCTATATAACTACATAAATTTATAGCCATTTTCGTTGTTCTGCGAGATGAACAAAATAAATAAAAAGTTGTAAAATTAGGTAATTGTAGGGCCAGTGAAGGTAAACGTAATACTTTCTTTGATAATTGATACTAGTCGCACAATTTTTAAGGCAGGTATCGCCAATGTGCGGGTATGCTAAATACATCTATCGGAGCAGTTTCCTTATAAATGTTAAAAGTAATGCCTCTGATGCGCATTTTGGGGTAGGTATCTTAAATGTGCACTTAAGCATAGAGGCAGCAAAGCAAAATATACTGTATCTTAAATGTGCACTTAAGCATAGAGGCAGCAAAGCAAAATATACTGTATTTCAAAAATGCTGTGCTATTGATTGCCAAAAACAAGCGAAATTGTGTTAAGCATTACTTTGAACGAATTGTTCCATCATATTTTGAAAGTGAATTTCGCAGTCCCTTTAGAATTTCTAGGGGCCTTTTCGCAAGCTTAAGTGAACGTTTATTTCAAAGCGAATATTATCTAATGCTACGTCCAAACAAAATAAACTCAGACAAATTTTATTTTCTGGTATTGTTGTGGTTCGCTGGCCATGAATCATGCAGTTATCGAGATCTAGCCGATCGTTTCGGCTTGTCCTTGTCAACAATTTGCTTAATTATAAATAGTCCCGATGTTACTGAGTTCTATGAGCCCACAAATTATAAAATGGCCCACTGGTTCTGAAAAACAAGAATCAAGCGAATTCTTTCAGAGTAAATGCTTCTTCAGCAAAGTAATAGGTATATGTAGCTAACCATTCATAACGGATTGATTACATACTTTATTTACTGTATTTAGGATGCATCGACGGAAAGCATGCTGAGATCGATCCACCACCTAGAGGAAAAGATGAATACATCGATCGAAAAGGAACAACATCAATATGCTTGCAAGGTATATGCAACGAAAAGAAGAGGTCCATGAATATATTTGTCAGATTCCCAGACTCTTGCCATGATAGTTGGGTACTTAAAAACTCTCCAATATATCAAAAATTACCATCATATGTCGAAGGTAACATACTTGACTGTTCTAATGGTAATACATTTTATATTTAAGAAGTTAATTTTGCAGAGTACTATTTATTAGGCGACTCCGCATACCCATATAACAGGTACTTAATAACTCCGTACAGAAACATCAAATATTCTTTAACAAAAAGCTGAGTTTGGGTCGTGTGGTTATAGAGCATACATTCGGATTATTGAAGCAGATATTTAGGCAGTTGTGCTACTGCAAACAGCGAGGCATGAAGAAAATTTGCCACTTTATTAGAGCTTGCTGCGTTCTCCACAATATTTTGAATGAAGAGGAAATTGATTTTAGTTCTGAGGTCATACCTGAAACTAATGAAGATTCCTCTTATGAGCGTTTCGTGCGGAAACACTGTAAGAAATTCATTTTGTGAAGATATAATAAGACGGTATAATTTTACCAACAATTAACAAAACTTGTAATTCAATTTATTAATTTTTCTTTGTACATACACCATATTGGCCAGTTTAATGTTGATTGTTTTTAAATGTGCATTGTTTATATAACGAAAACCATATAAATCGAAATTTCATACATTGTACAATTTTCAGCAAGGTGTAAAGTTTTTGTTCATAATTTTGGGAAAAATTGTACGGTATGCAGCCTTATAGGCCAATATATTTTACTATAACAAAGTGTAAGTTTAAAGTTGCCAAATAATCTTTTGGATTTTTGATAATATACAAAGTACGTTCAAAAATGTTTTATACATATGGTATTAAATGCGTGATACCGTCAGTAAAAAAGTATATCAAAAATCCACAAGATTCTTTGGCAACTACAAACTTTTGATATATCAAACTTTTGATATTTTCTTATTTGCACATTTCGGAATTTGGATGTTTGTGCTTTTTCGTTGAATCTTTTAAATTTGCAAAAAAACTTTAAAAAAAAATTACCACAATGCAACTAAATTCGCTGGGCTAGTTTTGTAATGGCTCAACATATAATAGTAAACTTGACAGTATAAAAACTAATTTGAAAAAGGCACTTTTTGTTAAAAAAGAGTTTAAAATATGCGCTCGATATGCTTCTATTTCTTTAAGAAATTAACCAGATTTTCTAATATATCCAGCTTCCTTTTCTCCAGCTGCACCTTCCTTTCGGCTCGCTCTTCCGTCCTTTTAAAAGATTTCTCTAACATCTCTTGCAGACGTAAGTCGCTCTCCTGCTTCCTTTTCTCATACGCACCCGAGCTTTCTATAAATTTTTCCAAAGCAGTCTTTCTTCTTTTTGGTCTCGACAATGTATAGTCAAGATTTTCTGTTAAACTAAAAAAAATGTTGAGTTAAGAATTATTGTACTGGGTCGTATGAATAAAAACTAAACATCTGCTTTTTATCAAAATTTCAGATCTTTTACTTAAACTTCTTTGAACAAGTTACATAAATTCGAAAGGGTTTGAAATTTTCAGAAAAAGTAATTGCTTTTTTTATTCACACGGCCCATTAATACATAATTATCAGGCATGTTCCGAAATTCGAAAGTTTGAAATCGACTCGATTTCGATAATTTCTTCGATGGTTTTTAACCTAGAAAATTACAAGTCTCGCATTAAAATGATTTTTTTCATATCGCTGCTGCTTCTTTTACAGTTTTAAGTGAGAATATTCACTCCTTTCATCAGATATAATTAACAAATTTTTGGCAAATCGACTCGATTTCAAAGTTTCAAATTTCAGAACATGCCTGTATATCTTCGTAATACCGTTGCCGCTTTGGGACGAAAGTGGGGACTCCATATAATCGTCCAAATCCTGTAAAGCCTCAGCAGGTTTGACCACCGTCTCGCTATCCAGTACAAATTCCGGGTGAATACCCTTCTTAGCTCTTAATAAATCATTCAGTTCACTGCAAATATATATACATATTGCATGTTTAAATAAATATAACTAACATTATGGCGATAAAAAGAACTTACCTATAGTAGGGACAGTTAAGCGTATTGCGACCAGTCAAAGAGTTATTGAGCTGCGTCTTCTTGTATTGGCGCTCTAAACTAAAAAATTTCCCCTCTACTTGGGCGGCGGCAAACATATGACCTTTTTCACAAAGCTCCTCGCTTATTCTCCATTTTAGTCCACATTTGTTTTTTTTTCGGTTTTAAGTTTGCTGTATTCCCATTTCGGGCCGCAAATCTTTGTATCGATAGACTTAATGCGGATGAGAGCACTGAAGATGTTATAGATACGTGTACGGGAAGAACTGACTATTTCTGACTAAAATCTGCAGTAAGGAACCGTCTGGCTATTTGTGTACTCTCCTACCGTTATTTTTCATTGTTGACAAATTTTCTGTTCGTTTACTGTTTTGCTGTTTCTTCTCTTTGGGAGAGAATTTTCGCTTACGCTCTTGATTTTGATTGTTGGTTGGTGTTGGCTAACTTTGTTATCGAACACATCTATACATATGAAGTCAAATAGGTATCTACACTTTCATACATATGTAGTACATATAAGTTATCACACCCATAATCCCAATACCTACCAATGGCGCACCCTTTACTCACGTTGCCGTGCATGTGAGTTTGTTGGCCAACATAGAACTTTCGCTGACGTAGTCCACGCGCAAGAGAATGGTAACACAACACGATCAATAACCCATGGGAAGTGCAGCATAGGCAATATTGGCCTGCACGCGCAACTCATCGATTGCGAAATACCTGATGGTGGTGGGAACTGCAACGTTAACATAAGTAGGGTAGAGTAATAGGTTTGCTGTTAAGAATCAATTATGTTTAGAGTTAGTTATGATAGTGAGTGCCATCAGTGCACAATAAAATTCAACTTGTCGATTCAACCGAATCTTGTGTTGTCGTTGTTATTGGCGAACTGCTGGTTCGCCACAGCTTTAATTTTTTTCAAGGTTCCTATTCAAGGATCCTTAAGTGGCGCCCGAGAAATCGGAGCGGAGTGGACTTAAGAAAAACTAAAATTAAATTACAAAAAAAACAAAGTAAAAAACTGTGAAACTGTGAAATTAATAAAAATAAGAGTGTACTGAGATAAAGTTCTCTAAATGTGATAAGTTAAAGGAATACAGAGAAAGGAAAATTTACCTTTTTACTATTATACAAAGTGCCAATGAAGTACTGGCTCTTGTAAGTATCCACTAACCATTGCATATAACTCTTTTCTTATATTTTATCAATAGTACTTGCACACCTTACGAATCATGGATCCCGAGGAAATTAGAAAATCCCTTACGGAGACGAATGGCGCTATCAATGCCATCCTTTCGCAGCTAAAGAAAATGGAACAACGAATCAAAAACGTCGAGTCAAAAAACAACGACGAATCCTTGTCGGGACTTAGTAACGATATCGAGAGGCTAGAGGCCCAAGTAGAAGAAGTTCGGAGACAGTCCACAGATACCAGACCAGAACCAATTGTAGAGCCACTAGTAAGTCCTCGGACGGAAGGCGAGCTAGCGGCGGTTGCGAAATTGCCAGATTGTGTAAAGGAAGTACAAATATTCGATGGGTCACGGGAACACTATGGCTCCTGGGTCCACAGTGTCGAACAAATTATTAAAGATTATGAGATAGTGCGGCATAAGCCAATTTATGCAGCCATACTTAGACACATTAGGGGGAAAATCAGAGGCGCGGCAGACTCGGCGTTGCTTGCGCATAATATTTTAGATTCCGACTGGGGCAGGATAAAAGAAATCCTCTCCCTGCATTATGCTGATATTAGGGATATAGAAACCCTTGAACAGCAATTGACACTAATGTCACAAGGGCGTCAAAAGATGTCCGATTTCTATGCACAGGTACAGAAACAACTCTCCCTTATGATAAACACAATAAAAGCTGAAAAGTACGCACATGGCGAAACTGTAGAAGCATTGGCAGAAGCACATCGTCGAAGAGCGTTGGATGTCTTCATAAGGGGCCTAAACGGGGATCTGCCTGCCTTGCTTCTAGTCCAAAACCTGAAATCCTTACCGGAAGCATATTCGGCATGCCTCAAAATTTTAAACGTAGACCGCAGAAATGCCATCTACCGCCCACCCTTCCACAGGGATAGTAGGAATTTTAACGACAATTATCAGCCGTCAGCCCAAAAATTTTTTTCCCGCGATACAAGAAGCTATTCCCACCTAGACCAGGGTTATACCGCCCAAAGGAATTCATTCCAACCTAGAGACAACCGCATGTGGCAAAATAACAGCCAACCAAAGCCAAGACCCCCATACTCAGCATCAGCGCAAACAAGGATGAGCAACCAGCCGACCCAAAATTGGAGAAATAACAGCACCCCCTTGGCAGTGGTAAAAACAGACATAGAACCATCAACCCAGACCCGGCAGACAGGCGGAACTAGGTTTTCTAGATACGATAGCACCAAAAGGGGTGCAAACTCCACGGGATATTTAGATAGAGCCCCAAGTAAGCAACAGAAGCTCTTCCATTTAGTACCGGTCGACGAAGACGAAGGCCAGGAGATATCAACTAATAAGGAGCAAACCACGGGGGATCAGGTAAATTTTACCATGGGAGCCTCGTGTCCGGCGTACCGTATCTAGAGTACGCAACACAGGACTTGGGTATTTTAGAATTTCTGGTGGACACGGGGGCGAACAAGAACTATATAAGCGAGCGCGTAGCCCAAAACACTATACCAGTGGAAAAACCTTTCAAGGTAATCTCAGCAGGGGGAACCATAAATGTAGACAAAAAAGTATGTGGACATTTTTTTGAATTCGTAGGCAAGGACATTTCCACAACATTTTTTGTTCTCCCAGGGCTCAAATCGTTCGATGGGATAATAGGTGATGACACGCTGTCAGAGATCAAAGCCGTTTTGGATAGGGAACTCAATGTTCTCATTCTAAAACCAGATATTGTGCTGCCCCTTAAGCGGAAGGAAGCGCAGCAGGTTAACAGCATCAACCTTAACATCCCTTTCGATGATTATGTCACCGACCATACAAAAAACAAGCTTTACCGGATCCTAGAAAAATTCGAAATTCTATTCGGCCCAGTCGACCGAGGCGCAAAAATCCAAACTAATGTCCAGGCGGAAATCAGAACCGCAACCGAAAACCCTATTTATACAAAAAGCTACCCCTACCCCGTTAATATGCGCGAGGAGGTGGAAAAGCAAGTCCAGGACATGCTATCACAAAACATAATTCGCCCTTCCAAAAGTCCCTATAACTCGCCCATATGGATTGTGCCGAAAAAATCTCAATCGGACGGTGAGAAAAAGTACCGCATGGTAATAGACTTTAAGCGGCTAAATGCCGTAACCATTTCTGACACTTACCCCATCCCTGACATTAACGGCACCATCGCGAGTCTCGGTAGTGCAAAGTACTTTACGACACTAGACCTAACTTCGGGATTTCATCAGATCCCAATGAAAGAAAGCGATATTCAAAAAACGGCATTTTCCACAATGAATGGAAAATACGAATTTTTGAGACTTCCTTTCGGTCTCAAGAATGCACCCTCTATCTTCCAGCGCATGATAGACGACGTGCTAAAAGAATTCATTGGTCGTATTTGCTTTGTGTACATAGATGACATTATAATCTTTAGTAAGGACGAATCTACTCATTTAAAAGATATTGAAACTATTCTTGCTAGGCTTTTAGCAGCGGGTCTCAAAGTTAATCTAGAGAAAACTCAGTTTCTGAAGAGAAGCGTCGAATTTCTGGGATACGTTGTAACCTCCGACGGAATACTGCCTGACCCAAGGAAGGTAGACTCTATAAAAAATATGTTGCCTCCGACTAACCTAAAAGAGCTCAAGAGCTTCCTAGGATTAACCTCATATTATAGGAAGTTTATTCGCGACTATGCAAAAATTGCAAAACCGCTCACGAACCTTACGCGGGGAGAACATGCGCAGGTAAGGGCAACACAATCAAAAAAGGTGCCAATAACTTTGAACAAGGAAGCACAGGAAGCATTCTCAAATCTCAAAAAAATACTGACAACTTCTGAAGTCTTGACCTTCCCCAACTTTGATAAGCCCTTCAATCTAACGACGGATGCCTCCGATTTCGCTATCGGAGCGGTGCTATCACAGGATTACGATGGCAAGGACAAACCGATAGCATTTATATCGCGAAGTTTGTCCACCACAGAGGAAGCATATGCGACAAACGAAAAGGAAATGCTCGCCATCGTATGGGCGTTGGATAACCTGCGGAACTACCTATATGGTGCTAAGAAGATACGGATATTTACAGACCACCAACCGCTAACATTCTCTCTTAGCAACCGTAACTATAACGCCAAGCTAAAACGTTGGAAATCCAGGATTGAAGAGTATAACTACGAGATAATCTACAAACCAGGTAAATCCAACATCGTGGCTGACGCCCTGTCTCGACTTAAAACTCAGGCAAATCCCCTTACCACGTCCACACCCGAAGACGCAAGCCAAAACGCAACAACGGGATCAACAGCGGACTCCCAAAGCGAAGAAGGTTCAACCAGCGACACCGTCCATAGCGCAGAGCAGGATAACTCGGATCTAATACCGTTCGTGGAAGTGCCTCTAAATGTATTTAAAAATCAACTTGTGTTTGGGGGTAGACTAGAAATTTTCGAGGAACCTCATCCGGGTTATTCGCGACATTACCTGAGGTTGGAAGGAGTTAGCGAGGAAGAACTCATTAGGGTACTCAAGGAGAAGTTAAGGCCAAACGTAATAAATGGCATCAAAATGCCAGAAGGCCAGCTAGGGTTACTCCAAAAAGTTTATCTAGAAAATTTTTTACAATATAAAATCCGGGTAGCTCAATCTATGGTGGAAGACCTAAGAGATCCCGATAGAATCTGCGAGGTAATATGGGAAGAGCATAGAAGAGCTCATCGCAACGCCATCGAGAATAAGAAACAAATCTTGGAGAAATATTATTTTCCAAGAATGAATAGTATTATCAGGGGCTACGTTTCATCATGTGAAACGTGTAAAATCAGCAAGTATGATAGGCACCCCAATAAACCGGAATTGCAAAATGCACCTATTCCATCCCGCCCTTGCGAAATCATCCACGTAGATATCTTCGAGATACAAGGAGAGAAATTCCTCAGCTGCATTGACAAGTTTTCAAAATTTGCAAAACTATTTCACTTAAGAAATAAGTCCACTTTGCACCTTAAGGACAAAATAGTGAAACTCTTGCACTATTTTACGACCCCAGATATCCTCTGTACCGACAACGAGCGCGGTCTAGTTAGCCCAATAATACAAAATCTGCTAGAGTCACTAGGAGTTAGGCTGTATCGCACACCTTCTCAGAGAAGCGAGGTGAATGGCCAAGTAGAAGGGCTCCATTCCACATTGATAGAAATTATCAGATGCCTGAAGATAGACAAC